TGGTCTTTGTTCCCGTCAGTAGACCATAGTAGAGCCCTGGACTGCCACAGGAACGTGGAAGATGACGAAAAACAGGCCTGGTGGCGGTTCCGCAGATTTTGACCATGTTTGATGACGAATAACATCCAAGGGGGTTTCCTAAGTCATAGGGCTACCCCCTTTAAAAAATCTATGGATGGATTTTCCATTTTTTTAAAATCCATTTTGGGTACAGTACCCCATTTATGGCACCCCCCCATATACGAATTCCGAGTTTGTCCTAGAGCCATATTGCAATCACAAAGTCACAAAGTTGATGACAACATCAACTTCGGGCCTACCCAAGTTTCACCTGACTTACCTTTTTTTTTAGGTTGCAAGGTGAGCCATGCCCGGTGCACGAGGCGGATATTATCACCATGTTGCTGCACGCCAAGGCCTACATTGAGGCGGGGGAAAACCCAGGAGCACATAAGAAACTTCAGGATGTCACTTTCGGGCTTTGAACTGTCAACCAGATGAGAACAGAAAAAACAACCTAATGTCGTCTAATGTCCAATTTACCCTCTGGTAATTTAACGTAGCTACGGAAAGTCAATTAATAGGTAAACTGATGTAACTTGTCTATGAACGGGCTATTTTCCATAGCTATGTTAAATTAGCAGATGATTCTCGTATGTTTGGATCAAATAGAATCACAAGCTACTAGATGTGTAGAATGTGTATAATAGTTTAAACACCCCATTTTGGAGACAGCAAGAATATATATGATATATATATGTATACACGTAATATATATATATATATTATCATACATACGGTGGATGGGAGAGATCCTGCACCAGTTGCTAGATGGCTTGTCCCATTACAAGCCCAGGATTTCTTCCACAGTGTGGGATGAATTTGAGGCGCGAGACCACAACGGCTGCACTGCCCTGATGTTCGCCGTGGCCAATGGCAACGAGGTACAGCTACCCTGGTGGCGTCACCGTGAGACCTTGGGGTAAACATAGAAAAAGATGTGGAAAACCCATGAGGAAACGGAACATGATCTGCTTTTTTTGTGGGTAAACTCCACATCGAAGTGTTAGTATACAGATGGGTATAGGGTATATTGTTAGGGTATGTTGCTGTACATGTTTTTTTTAATTTTAATCCGGTGGTTTTCACGGAGTGTTTGCGGTGAGCTGAGCTAAGAGTATCCAAATATTCCCTTTTTGAGCCATGGGGAGCCAGTTGAGCTGTAGAAAACCGCAATCGGAAAGGTGTCTGGTTGCCATGTGACATCATATGACTCTAATATGACATTCTTATATGATCTCATATGACTGACAAATTATGCATGAAGTTTCAACTGTGGTTTCAAGTTTCAACTGTTGTCTATGATGGTCTATGTATAGACTGCAATTGGAGAAGATGGATGATAGATGATCATCATAGTATATCCAGTTGCCCAGCACAAGTTTGTGACGAAAAAAACACCTTTATTGTTTTCTGAATCATGGCTCAAGACTCACAACTTTACTGTCGGGTTCTCAAGATAGGGGGACTACAAGTTATCATCGCAGTGGTTGGTCATTTTGGTCATTTTCGATAGAGAAAAGCGATGGTATTTCTCAATTCCACACGCCAATCCACAAGGCCAACGGATCGACAAAATAACGCTTTGATCGAACAGAAACTATGGCTGATCTGTGATTTTGCAAATGGGGTGAAACTTTGAAACCCTGTTTTTTCCACCTTGGAATCATCATTTTAGTATCCAATGAGGCTATCACTCGACGTTTGATCCTGGCACAAGCCAATGTGAACAACGTGTCTCGGCCGTGAAAAACCTGCTAGCAATGGGGGGGATATCACCAACAGTTAAGTGACATGAAATGGTGATTTAGTAACTTTAGTAACTTTAGTAACTTTAGTTGGCTAAGTTGGTTGAAATACTTAACTAGTATGACTGTTGGGTTGGTAGAAACATTGGTTTGTAGTTACTGGGACTTATGAAGCAACAAACAAATCACTGGGGATGCACATTGCAGTTTGTCCAGGGGATGCACCCAGATACAGTAGCTATTGGCCATTTGAATTTTTAGAAGTGGTGATTCCCCAGTTTGGGGTCCCCAATTTTTATACAAAGCCACATTGGTGCCATGATCAAAAAGATGAGATTGTATACCCTGCCATGGGTTGATGGCCATCAATCCATAGGGATGTGACTCTATATCCGTTGGGAAGGATGCTCCCCAAAATTGGTGGATGGATGACCATAAACCATATGAATTCATCCCATGAATTTTGACCGTTTTAGCACACATCGAACAAAAATTGCCTTGTCGATCCATAAACATCCCGGCGGGTTGTTTATCGAACCCGCGTTTTCAACGTTTGCAGTGTTCGTCATTGGTTTTATACCACAAATCACAGTGGTTTTGCATCTCCCTGAAAGTTCAGTTTCCTTAAAAAGTACGCGCGTACTTTTAACTGGAAATGTAAAAAACCTCAGCGGCAGTCTCTTTTTTTCTGCGCTAAGTGTTCTTGACAATGTCTGCAGTGAGCTTGGACTTTTTGTGGGAACTGTTTTCCCATCTCCACTGCCAAGAGCAGGTGGAAAAGCGTTCCATGCACTCTTTTTGTCTCCATGTGCATCTCTCAAGATCCCTGGCGTGCATTGCGTTCAAAACTCATCTCAAGGTTTTGATACAAATCTCTCATGAGGAAGTGCAAGACGACATACACTAGCGTAGCATCATATATGTGAGGAAGTGCAAGACGACATGCAGTAGCGTAGCATCATATATGTGAGGAAGTGCAAGACGACATACAGTAGCGTAGCATCATATATGTGAGGAAGTGCAAGACGACATACAGTAGCGTAGCATCATATATGTGAGGAAGTGCAAGACGACATACAGTAGCGTAGCATCATGTATGTGAGGAAGTGCAAGACGACATACAGTAGCGTAGCATCATATCTGTGAGGAAGTGCAAGACGACATACAGTAGCGTAGCATCATGTATGTGAGGAAGTGCCAATGAACGTTATTACCCCACCCCACCCCACACCACCCCACCACACACAATAACGTAGCATCATATATGTGAGGAAGTGCAAATGAACGTTATTACCCCACCCCACCCCACCCCGTTAACCCCATGAATGACATAAAAACATGCAAAACGCTGGTTCGGTTTTCAACCCGTAGGCATAAACATCATAAACCATATATATTTTCATCCCGAGCGTTTTGAGCTTTTTTTTGCAGCTTTAACACAAACTTTGCGTCCCAAGTTTGACTACGAGAACCACAGTTGCCTCAACTACGCCCTGCAGTTCAATCAGACCAAACTCGTGCCTCGCCGCATCGCCGATCTGATGAAAATTCGGCTGAATTTTGGGGACGGGAAATCCACCGTCTGACGGTTGGGAATCTATCTATTGGGACCAGACCATCGACCATCTACAGGGTATTGTTATGAAAACCATTTAATGATAATAGCATTATAAACCATGACTATTATATATATAATACCATTATTAAAACCATTAACCATTATAACACCATTATAATACCATTATAATACCATTATTAACCATTAACCATTGTAAGACCCGAACTATTAATGATGATCCTATGTTTTCTTGGGCCATCTTAAGCAAATCCCAGTGATGCTGGGCATCACCGGGCACCTCAGCCATGGCAGAGATTCTGCTGTTCAAATGGGCCATGGAGTTCTCCTGTGAACCTGGGAAATAGCAATGAATTTCATGTGAACATGGCCAGTTCAATGGAATTTCGGGCCACATTTCTTGGACTCTTCTTTGGAATGTGACTATATGTGATATATTTATTTGTTAAATACCACAGATCATCCCAACCATGGTTGTGGTTATGGTTGTGAAGTTGTGGTCATAAAATATCCAAATCAGGTATGCCAACTTTTTGATGGTTGAATCCCCATTTTTCATGGTCATTGTCTCAATTCTTGATGGTGACATCCCAACATTTGGTTAAGTCCTCAATAATTATCCTCAATTTGTGGAGCGTATTGGTGAAATCGCCACTCAATCCAAAAAAAGGTGTTCCTTTCTTTTTCAAACAAATCTTTCTGCATATAATTCCACCGAAAATCATGTACACCTATGATCATTTTCCCATTCAAGAGGATTATTTTCAGAATATCCACCATATAAACCCAGCATATGAGCTTTGTATGAAGCCATATAACATGATTCAAGCATTTCATAAACAAATATTCACAGTATATTCATGTAATAAACTAGAATAAACCTCTAATAAACATTAATAAACTAAACAATCATGTAATAGCTCTGATGATTTTTTCAGCATCGTTAGGTGGGTTTGCTGAAGAAGGCTGGAGCCATGGACAAGCTGAGCTTGGACGATGAGGCACCGGCTTTGATGGGTGAGTTCATGGTGGTTCAATGGTGGTTCGGCTTCTTCACCCAGTGAAAAAAAATGCGCAAAAATCATGGTATATCCCAGTGAAATACTGGGCCACTGGCCACTGGCCACGCTTGATGATCCTGGCAGCGGCAGCGCTGGGGATTCATCATGGTTGTCATGGTGAAAATAACAAGGGTCAATCATATGGTTAATGATATGGTTAATGATATGTCTAATGATGGTGAATTAACCATTATTCTTGACCAAAAAAAAATACCCGGATTAATTATTAATGGTGATATTCCCATTCTCTACTGATCTACCTTTCTATCAGGGGCTTATTTAGGCCGGTGACACATAGCAGGACGAGGAAGAGGATGATGGTGCCGCATCCATGTCACCCTCGGCGTCGCCCAGTTTCTTGGATGCCTTGGTCCCTGGTTAGGAGCTGGTTAGTAACTGGGATTAACCATTTATAATAGGGAGTTTTTCAGAACATCACTTGGCTAACTGATGCTAACTGTTGGGGTATCCTGGCAAGATGGAAGCAGTAATCACCAAGCTGTGGGATTCGGACCCCGTTGACCTGTCGATATCCAAAAAGTCTCCTGTTACAATGAAAAAAGCTAAGACTGGGATACACAATTCGAATATACCCTCTGGTTATTTAACATAGCCATGGAAAATCACCATTTTTAATAGGTAAACCATCTATAAATGGGCCATTTTCCATGGCTATGTTAAATAACCAAATGGTATGTCATTTTGACATCTCACAACTGCGGATGAACAGAACTATGGAAAATCAGAAATTTGAAGTACTGTAGGGAAATTAATGTAAACCATCTATAAAAGGGCAATTTTCAATGGCAACTACTAAATTTCTGGAGGGTAGATGAATCAACTAGATTCTGGATGATTCCCGTTGATATTTGGATCAACCACTGTTCAATTTCTTGATGATGCACATATATTCTACCCTCTGGTAATTTAACATAGCTATTAAAAATTGCCATGTATAGTGAGTTTTCCCATGAAAAATAGTGATTTTCCATAGTTTTTTGTATGTTTACCAGAGGGTAACCAACTTATTTTTTTCAGGCAACATTTTTGTCGACCAGGTCGCTTGCAGTTGCCCCGTGGATTGCCCGACTGCGAGACGAGTTCTTGTTCCTTGGTCCAGTTTTTGTTCAGAAGTCTTGGTGGTTTTAACCATGGTTAATAGTGATTAATAGTGGTTATTAGTGATTGATATTTCCGAAGTCCATGGATATTTCATAAGATGATATTTTGGTGATACAGTATTTCATTCAAACATGTCGCCAAGAACATTTGGTGGGAGATCGGTTCAACTTTTGGTGGTTCAGCCCTCAAAAATCATTGGATGTCTCAAAACATGTTTGTCAAACAACTTTTGAATTGATGGAGGTTTCCTAGGTACCCCAAGTCACCAATTTATCACCATAGTTGTTTCAATACCACAAGTCATGGTCAACGACTGGATGATGACTGGAGGTTACTACCCCCATTGCTGACTTTGGAAACCTCCATATTTCACCAAGGACCTTTTGAAGGTGAGAGCCCCCATTTATAGGTGGTAAACATCAAGCCCGTGAAGACTATAGATACTACATCTACCATAAACCGTAGTCAATCTAGTTCTGTGCACCAACTTAGCCATCATAAATCATCTATGAATTCCATTGAATCCCAATGGTTTCTTGGTGAAGTCAGCATTTTCCCAGAGGTTTCTCACCACTTTCCCCAGTTCAATCACCATTTAGCTATGGCTTTCCCATGATTTCTACATATTTTTTGTTAGTTAAATCAAGTTAAATCCCACAAAATCCCTATTTTTTGGTGGTTAAATCACAATTTTCCGATTGTTTTCCCATTGGGTTTCCTATGGTTTCGACCTATCTCGCCATTTCTGAGCGCGACGAGGTGCCGAGAGCTTGTCGACAGAGGCACCTGAGACGTCACCGCTGTCGGCCGCGACGGGTCAGAATCTCGTGGTCCTGGCGGTGTGGGGTGGGATGATCAGCCAATTTTTGGGTGGTTAGATGAGCTTAGTTCATCGAGAGAAATTCTGGTGGTTTGGAACCATGGAATGGATTATGACTGTCCATTCAGTAATTTCAGAATCCCAACTGACGAACTCCATGATTTTTCAGAGGGGTAGGTATACCACCAACCAGAATTGTTTGGGTGCTGTTTTTTACTTGGGTTTTAATGAGGAATTTGATATTTTGCTGGAAGGGGATAAAAAGTCAAGTCACTAGGATTATTTTCTTGAACAAAAAAATCATTCAATCTTCCTCAAAAATAAAAAAGTAACAACCGCCCAAAAAAGAAAACACATCCGGAAAAACAAATTGGCTTGGGAAAAAGTCTTGACACAACACCGACCCACCGCACGAATCAAGACTCTACATTAGGGGGAATTGATACATATATATATATGTATAATTATGAGTGTATATATATACACACATTTGGTATATACATTTTGCATATATATATATAGCTTCCCCTATATAATATATACGTACGTATATATATATATATATTACTATATTATACTGTATATATATGTACATATAATATATATATATATTATACATGATATCATCCCAGAAAAAACGAAAAAAAATCTATGGATTCCTATGGATCATCAATTCCTCACGCCCCAACTTTGGTCACCAGATATTTCCACCACCGAGGTGGAGCAGACTCGCCCGAGGCGACGGTCCTTGTGCGATTTATCGCCATTCATAGGTTAGTAATGGCTATTATAATGGTTAGTAATGGCGAATAATGGTTAACAATACTGATCTGGTTGGTGGTTTGGAACATGTTTTTTTTTTCCATCTCATATATGGGATGTCATCCTTCCCATTGACTATTTTGTTCAAGATGGTTAACCAACCAGTAATGACAATAGTTGATTATAAGAGTTAATAATGATTAACAATTAACAATTAATGATAATGATTAAGGAGAATGGTTAATTCATCAGAATATCAACGTTTTTTTTTTAAAAATAAAACAGTCAGAATGGTTGATTAATCATAATATCATTTATACTGATAATAGTTAATGGTTAATGATGATGGTCATCAGGGTTAATATCGATAATGGTAAATAATAATGACGATAATGTTGTTCTGTTATTTAATAGTCATAACGGTTAATTAATCATTATGGTCAACGATAATGACTAACATATAAATGGGTTAACAATGGTTGATGAATGCATGATTACTGGTTTTTTATGTTATTTACCCATCATGGTTAAGACTGGCGATTGAATGTAATTAACAGTCTTCCCTGTAATGGTGAATATCTTAATGGTTAATGGTTAATGGTTAATGATAATGATTAACAATAAGGGTTAGTAAGACTGGCTAATACTGAAGTTGTTAATCATAACAATCTTGGTAAATTATAGTGACCTCACTGTGATCTTTTTTAGATATGGTGAATGTACAGGGAACTATCCCAATTTTGGCGGAACTTTTCAGGTTAGTGCATTATTGCAATGTGCCCAGATAACCAATATTAACCATATCATTAACTAACCATCATTATTAACAATCCATCCTTCATCCCCACTATTTTGGAGGATCACCCCACGGATCGTAAGTGGTGAAAAAACCCCTCGTCTCTAAGTCCCCATGACTCGTGGAGTATCCCATTTATAGATGGACGAACTAATCCCATTTATCAGATTTATCAGGAGCTGTCGGATCCTCTGAGTATGGAGGTGACAGGGGGTACCATATTTTGAAGCCCTAGTGACCCTAGTGATGTTTTTCGATGTTCCAGACTTTCGAAGATTTCACCAGATCAGCAGTGAATGGATTTTATCAGCACCAAGCAGCTGGGCATCTGAGCATTGATCCGGAAAAACTGTTTGGCATCCCAATTCATAAGTGGTAAAAAACATGTAGTATGTAACTGGCTTATGAATATTACCGAAACTGGCGAAACTGGCATGCCTAGTCTTTGAATTTTTGACCATGGCCCAAAGGTCACTGTGATGTCACGACCCAAATCATGGTTGGCTGGGGTTGACTATCCCTAATTGGCCGTTTCAGGTTGGTGCATTATCATAATTCATCCAGATATATCCCAATACAGTATCGGTAGATACATTTTATGTATCCTAGTATTGGTCTGGCTGAATTTTGCAGAAATACATCCCAACAACACATCCATATATAGACGTATATACACACGTACATCCACTATATATATATATTGTCCAGTTATATATAATGTACCCTTATATATAACTTATATATTGTTTATTTCTATATATATATGCCATGTTCACAGGAATTGCCCTTAGAATCACCAAACAAGATTTCATCAGAGATGCAGCGCAGAAAAATCCCGAAAAAGATGCCGAAGAGTGGGACACCTGGACCTTTTTTTTTTCTCAAAAAATATCATCGAACGAACATCCTTTTGGAACACTTTTCGGCATCTTTTTTTGGGTGTTGCTATATGGTTATGTCCAGAAAGTGAACTAAAACACATTACTGTATATATATATATATAAACATGCTGTGCTGACGTCAGGTGAAGAAAAAGAAGAAGAAAGTCAAGGTGCGGCGGATGTTTTTGATGATGGTCTCAACTGGAGCATGACAGATTTCACTGGTGTTCAGTTCCACGTTTCACATCAGCAATCTGCAGCAAACTCAATGCATAGATCCCCAAAACTTCGGTACCATAATTATTTTTTTCCTGGTTCTTTGAGCATCGCGTAAAACCAACTACAGCAAGCATACATATGTCTGGGGTGTCAGAACATTCAGTTCCAGGGCTTCAGGGCTGTGGATAGATTGAATTTTTGGCAGTTTCGTGAACCGTTGGCTGATGTCAAACGGCGAATTCGAGCTGCGCCATGGCGCGTGGCAACCGGAATTGTCACCCATGAAATCCAATGACAATCCCATTCTAATCGCAATCTCATTCCACTGTCATCCAATTCCCCAAGAAATCTCCCATAAATCCATAGTCCACATGGCCTGGAATGATGAATTTTCATGGGTTCCTAATGGTTTCATTATTCCAGAGTCGAAATATTTCCTAATGGTTCCATGGTATCATTTTATTTCCTATGGGAATATGAGTTCCTACAGGATGGTGCCCCCCAGTTATAAGTTGGTTTATAAACCCCATGAACTATAGTTATATCTGCCATAAACCATAGTTATGGGAGTTATAAACCAACTTAGCTAACTATGGGGCACCACCTTGTAGGAAATCCCAGAATTCCAGAGCTGGTTTCAGGTGGGGTTTGTTCTCGCCAGGAGGAGGGCGAGGCGAGTCCTGATGCTGTCAGATTCCCAGTGACCTTCACCCGTGCTGTCGGAAGAACGCAGCTTCGCAGGTTGAGAAACGGTAGTTGAACCGTGAGAAATGGTGATAAATGGTGGTTGAACATGGTTGAACCACCAAAATAATGATTGCATGACTTAAGCATACTTAATCATGGTGTTTAAGGGTGCGTCTGAAAATGTGGACAGCCATAAGATGGCCATTGACGTAGGGAAAATGATGGTAAACCAATGAATTTAGGGGTGCACTATTTTCAGACAGACCTCTATAGCAACCCCTAAGTCAAGATAGATTTTCCATGTGTTTCCTATAAAAGCCAACGATTTAAGAACATATTTGAGTGCTGTTGGTTTTAGAACTATAGCAAACCCCATTATATTTCCCATTTGATTAAGATAGGTTTTGGTAAAACCCCGCAAAAATAGTGGTTAACTGAAGCTTTTCTATTTTTTTGGGGTTACTGTGCTGTAACTAAGGGTTTATTGTGATTATCACCATCATTGGATTGGGTTTACAACCAACTTATAAGTAGGGGAAACCACCATTGTGATTTATTGGGATCAGAATGGGATTGCAAGAAATATTGGAAATAGGCTTTTCGAAGAATATACGTATGTATTAGATTATATAGTAGTATATACATATATCAATGTATATATATATAATTATATAATATACATATATATAATTATATAATATATATATATATTTTATTACGATATCTTACTAATATATACATATATATAGTAGTATATACATATCCATACTGAAAGTTGGATTCGTCACTGGAGTCGCTCCTGCTTCGGCTTCCCAAGGTCAAAAAGAAGAAAAAGGCGCGTCGGTCGAATGATCTTTGGAGCATGGATTACCCTCTGGTAATTTAACATAACTATTGAAAATCACCATTTTTAATGGGAGAATCCACTATATATGGTCATTTTCAATAGCTATGTTAAATTACCAGAGGGTAATCCCACTGCACCCGATGATCTTTTCATAGCGGGGGTTGAATCATCAAGGGCGGGGACTTCGTATGGTTTCACCAGCATTCAATGTGGAGAAGCCAAGGTTTTCTTTTCTTTCATACCTTCATAGTTGGGACACCAAGTTATGAATAGATCCAGCATTTTCAAAAAACATCAGGGGTTGTAGGAGGTATTTGATGTTAAGGTAACCTCTTGCCTGCGCCATGAAGGATTTTATCCAGCAAAGCTGACATAGCTGCGTTGAACTGGTCAATTTTGGTGGTCCATAACTTCTGCAGAAATCACATATCGGTTTCCATGTGTTTCAAATTTCGTTCTTTATTTTCCAGCCTCAACACATACCGTTGATAAGAAAAATCGATACCCTCTGGTTATTTAACATAGCTATGGAAAATGGATGAAAATGGCCCATTTATAGATGGTTAACCTGGGTTTACCTATCAAAAATGGTGATTTTCCATGGCTATGTTAGTCATAACCAGATGGTAATTATGCCAATTTCAAATTAGTTGGGCCTTGAACCAGGGATCAGCCAACCTGCTTGAGGCAACCGCTGATGGCGAGAAGGCCGAGAAAGGAACCAAGAAGAAGAAGGCGAAACGTCGGGACTAAAAACCAAAGTGGATACCCTCTGGTAAACTAACATAGCTATGGAAAATCACCATTTTTAATGGGAAAACTCACTATAAATGGCCATTTTCAATAGCCATGTTAGTTTACCAGAGGGTAGTTTAACAAGCACAATGGAGAATGTCAACAACAAACATCGGGGAATGTTAACAGGCAAACATAGTGGTTTTATCAGCCAAGATAGTAATTTAGGGTTGCCCCAACCCATTTTTTTTGGCAAATGATAGCCACTTTTGAGGGGAAATGGGTCATATGATGTCTATATCTATCCAGTTGCCCATTTATATGAATGTATACTGTATACCATACTATTACTTGCATTCTGTGCTACTTCGAAAGGCTTCTTTCACCCAGATTTCATTCTCTCAGAATACTTACCAGAGACAACCTAGATTTCCTCTTCAGACGTGACTTTGGCCGTATCCCAACGGCAAACTTCATGGGGATGACTTACGAACCTCCACTCATTAACCAGCAAGTTGTGAAACATCTAATAGAATAATATAGAATATGGATCACCCAAATGACAGAGCTTGGTTGAATCCCCATATATCTCCATGACAAATCCAGCTGATCAGGCATCCGTCCCCATGCCAAGCACCCCTCAATCAGCGTCTGAGATGAGCTATCATCCAGAGGGCTGCATCGGAATCGTTTTTGAGGCTAATAACTGCATGATTTTTGATCCATCCATAGATAATCATATATTCATGATGATGAATATTTGATACAACTGGAATACATATCATCAACCAATCTTAACCATTCAGATTATCCATCCATATAGAAGTTGACATTTCTGATACCGGAAGATCCTTCCCTTCATGGCGAATCGAGTCTCACCGGCGAGCCGCAGAGGTGAAGAGTCAAGGCTTAGGTGAGAAGGGCCTCATGGAGGTGCCCAGCGTATCCCGTTGTTTGCCGACCATCAATCTGATAAACTCAAGGAATATGTGTATCCCAAGGGTTGTGGAATATCCCCAGTTATAAGTTGGTTTATAAACCCCATTAACTAGTTCGTTATATCTGCCATAAACCACAGTTATGGGAGTTATAAAACAACTTAGCTAACTATGGGGCACCACCTTGAAGGGTATTTGTGGAATATCCCCAGTTATGTAAGAGTTTTTTTAGGAAAATGTTCCAAAGCACCAACCAGTGGTGATATAAATTCTGAATATACCCTCTGGTTATTTGTTACACAGCCATGGTATAGATGGCCCATAGAAATAGATGGTTTACCTAGCTATAAAATGGTGGATCTTTCCATGGCGAAATGTTAAATGACCAGAGCGTATATGGAATATGATGGATGAATATATGGGCAGATCATTATGTTTATATAATATAGAATTAAAACCATGTATCAAACTGTATCCCGTGCTGTTCCATTGGGCATTTGATGTGCCATTCAAAGGTACACATCCATGGTGGAGTTTTCATCATCAATGATGGTGGCATTGGGATGAATGTCTCTGCATGCGAATACTGACAGAGACATTGCAGGTTTCTTTTTCTTAATGGACCCAAGGACAAACCCTCAAGTTTGGGAGAATCATCAGACAACCCAATTAATCCGATGAATGATTTATCATTAAGCTGGTTTATACTAGCAATTTCGAGTCATGGGATTGTTTTTATTGGATTTGCCTCATCAGAAATGGAAGAAACAAGTAACAAGAGCCAAAGGGGGCAATTTACCATGAGAAAAATGCGGATGTTTTCATCAAATTTGGAAAGCTGCCGACATTACCAATACGATAAACGTGGATGCCCTAACATGAAGGATTTGACAATCACTAGCAAAAGTGGATTTAATTAATTAAGCAGGATCTCTCCATCAAGAACATTCAAGAACAACAATTTTGCCTGCAAACAGCAACCCTGTTGGGGGAAGATCGCAGAAAACTACCGTCGGAAATTTGATTTGTACCATCAAGGACCATCAAGTTACAGTGAGTCCCCATTAAATCACCAATTTGGCCATGTTTGCTCGTGAAATCCTACGTTTCATGGGGCAAACTCACAATCTTTGCATGAATTCAATGCAGATGGGTCTTAATGTGGCAAAACCTATATGTTTGGCGCGTTTTTTACATTGATTTCCGAGCCATTTGGGTGTTTTTACGACAGGGTACCAGGGTCTTGACCTCATAACCGTTTTTTGATCCCAAAAAAATGGTCAAAAATGTGGGTTATATACCAGTTGTTGATGCTTAAACTCCCAATTTGTTGCTGCTCAGAGGCTCAGATACCACCCCTCGTCGCCGAGAATGGCCCCTTTGTAGATGATCTACACTTTCGATATGTTTTCCAGCTATGTTGGATTACCATAGGATATACAAACTCCCTGAAAGTGATTTACCCCCAACAAATACGGACAACCCTGGTTGGTTTGAAGGATTTCAAAGCCTAGGTCATTCGGTTATCATATGTTATCATCCATTTTTTATGGTAGGAAAATACAGTTTTTTTTATGGTAAACCTCCACCTTTTTGCTGCTCAAATCTGGCCAGTTCCGTGCCAGGCAGTAGCCGTACAGGATGAAGGAGCGATCACCGTGAAGGAGGAGCATCGGCCTGCGGCCTTGGGCGGCCTTGGATATCCATTTGTTAAGTCGCCACAGACCAGAGATGACCCTTTACTTCCGAATCCGAAAATCCTCTTCCTTTGAAAAATATTCTTTCTTTCCTCTTCCTTTCCTTCCCTCTTCGTCTGTTAGTCTGTTCTTCATTTTCCTCTTTTGCGTTTCCTCTCTTCCTTTCCTTTTCCTTTCGTCTTCCTTTGCTCTTCTTTTCCTTTTCCTTTCCTCTTCCTTTCCTCTTCGTTTCCTTGCCCAGATTTGTTCCTCTATCTTCATAAAAATACACAACAATGCGTAGCGATAGGACCCCCCAAAAGGAATACCCTTTCTTGGGAGCTTAGCGAAGAATTTGAGTTTTGACAACAGCTTGTATAACCATATAGTATATGATCATGTATGATCATGTATTTTTTGATATGCATGTGAATATATGGAGATGATGGACATTCATGGACACCGGCTGTTTTGATGTGAACTACGGGGTAGAACAGTTTTGACTCATAGCGATGTTCACTTGAAAAAACATGGGGCCAGTCTACAAAGTATGGGTCAAACGCCAGTGTTGGTCAAAACATATTTTTATGATGCAAAATGCTTCATTTTACTGGAAACCAGCAAATAATTAAAACAAAACAAAAAACAATCAAAAAAAACAAACCAAAAAAACAACCCCAAAAAAACAAAAACAAAACAGGAACAATAAAAAAAATGACAAAACAAAAAACAAACAAAAAACAATAAACAGCGCACGGTTTGAAACTCAGAGAGACTTTGTGCTTCTCCCTAATCGCCGCAGCTTGTTGATACCACTTGCTCTCAAAGTCCACAGTCTGCTGCGTTACCTGCTGCCAAGCTGCGACCAAAACTCCCAAAATCCAACAAGGGCTGCCTAGTTAAAGCTTCAAACAGTAAACTTGATGGGGGCAAGCAATGAGTCTAGGGGGTGCCCGGCGGCTCGTGGTACCCCTTTTTTTGGGGGGGAAAAAAACAACAACAAAAAAAACAATCCAAAAAAAAATGGTAATTACCACAAAAAAAGGGGGTACCACGAGCCGCCGGGGCACCCCCTAGACTGATTGCTTTCCCCCATCACGGGTAATAGGCGCACTGTTTGAAGCTTTAACTAGGCAGCCCTTGTTGGATTTTGGGAGTTTTGGTCGCAGCTTGGCAGCAGGTAACGCAGCAGACTGTGGACTTTGAGAGCAAGTGGTATCAACAAGCTGCGGCGATTAGGGAGAAGCACGAAGTCTCTCTGAGTTTCAAACCGTGCGCTGTTTATTGTTTTTTGTTTGTTTTTTGTTTTGTTTATTGTTTTTTTATTGTTTTTTGTTTTTGTTTTTTTGGTTTGTTTTTATTGGGGTTGTTATTTTGTTTTTTTTGGTTAGTTTTTTTCATAGTATTAATTATTTTCCAGTTTCCAATGAATGAAGGTCTCTCGACGTCATAAACATATATATATATAATATAAGTATAAAGTTATATACCATGTTTCTTGCTCTTGTTTGAATCATACATATACCAATAATCAAACATTTCTATTTAATTCGATACCATCATGTTTGGTAAAAACATGTTCCAATATGGAGTCCTAACAGCTCATTGTCACAATTTTGGGACACTGCAAAATCAATGAGTTTTTCGCTTGGGAAATCTACGTCATTTAGGCACTGGGGTATAAGAAATACTACATCCTTCAATTTCTTTGAAGGCTTATACCACTTATGCTATACTTGGGGATGGTTTATCCTTGTGTTTACCACACAAAAAACTCCGATATACTCTTAGCATGGCATTGGGGGCTGTCTTGTTAGAGGTCTTTTTGGCCAACATATCACACCCAGAAGAATCCCAACTTAACCCTAATAAATCCCAAAAAAGCTAAATAAACCCCATGGGAATCCTGTGGGATTTTGATGGGTTCTTTTATGAATCTATGGGAGTTTGCTGGGGTTCTGCTTCTCTTCTTCATGGAATTGAATGACTAGCACCATTTTGGATCAAAGGCAGGCAATAGGCCATGCCTTCAAGTAAGCGCAAATCAGTGCCTGGAAGGTGCTCTCTGCCCAGGGAGTTTGTTCATGTCAACCCTGCCCAGTTTGGGATGTTGGGTGGCATGGGGTTGCCAATGTTTGGGATGCAGCAGCCCATGTCTCTAGCAGACCTTGGCAAGCATCACCCCTTGAGCATCACCTATGGCAGAGATGCAACCTCTACTGTAGCTTCTGCTGCTGCTGAGTCTGTCAAGAGCACCTTGCCTAAGACTGAAAGGCACAGATTGTAAGTGAGAAGGGTGGCACTACAAAACCAAAGGGAAGGTGGATTCAGGTAAAGAGGCCTTTGTTTTGCATCAGTGAGAAAGAGTAACTACTGCCTTAGCCAAAGCCTCTTAAACATGCAGCCTTTTAGGTGCAGAACCTGCTGAAGAAGATGATGGAGAGTCTAGTAATGAAGATGATGAGGATTCACAACCTTCCAAGAGGAGGCTTGGGAACATATGATTTGCTGGTAGCTAGGTGGCATGCAGGGTCCAAGGTCATGTAAAATCTTGAAACTCCTTTAGTTAGTTGTCCTGCAGGAAAACCGACCACAAGTCTAAGAAGCACAAGAAAAAGGAGAAGAAGGCAGGGAAGAGCAAAGCAGCAAAGCACAAGAAGTCTGTGAAGAAAAAGAAGAAGGGCAAAGGTCGCAGGTCTTCCAGTAGTTCTAGCAGTTCATCATCCAGCAGCAGTCTCCAGAATGTTTCAGATGAGCAATTGGACAAAATGCCCATCAAGAAGTGGCTTGCATGAACCATCAATAGAAACATACCCATTATCATTGCAAGCCATGCCATTGTTCTAGTGTACCCACAAGGGTTCCAATCCAACTGTTTTTGGTTCACCCTTTCTTACTTTGCTGCAGCTTCACATGACTTCCCAACTTAGGTGCTGGATCAGGTTGGGCTATGATTGGACAGCCTCCAATGGAAAAGATGGCAAGCCTGACAAGAAGAACTCAGTAAGTCGATCTGAAAGGGTGAGAATTTTGTCTAGCTTGGGTGACCCAAAGATGTCAGCATGCTCCTTGCATTCTATTATTGAATTGATTACCATGCTGATGTTCACCTTGTCATAGTGCTTTGCTGGCCTTTGAATACTTATTTATTTATTTGCTTGTTGATTGCCACCAACCAGCCACCATGTTCCAGCTAAGGCAACTTGTGCCAGCTCAAGGATTGGCAGTTGGACCTGCTGATGTATGTGGCAACAGGCCTTGGACCCATGGTCAGCATCAAGGACATGAGGATTGGTGGCACCAGGGGAGGGCTGAGACTTGGTTTGAATGGTTTTGGAACTGTAAATTGACAATGACTAGGTTGGCACTGCATGCCTTGCCACCACCTCCACCATTGGATCCCCACAATTCTTTTGAGCTTTGATAGGGCAGCACCCTTCACTCAGGAAACAGGTGTGCAAGGACCAGGCACTCCTGTTGGAGAAGAAGAGTGAGGGATCAAGGCTGGCTGTTGTCTCAGAGCCTTGACATTTAGATTAGATACTGAGTACTGGCAGGACTATATTAATATATGATTTTGTTCCAATCTTTGGGTGGCAGCTGAATGTTTCAATGCACAAGTAATTATTATTAGATGAGTCTTGCTGGATGTCCTGGCCAAGGATGACTTTGAAAACCTGTATGAAGTGGCATGCAGCCTGGGCTGGGATAAGATTTTCAGCAAGAAGACCCATGCTTAGTTTTGACAATTCTTGTGCATCTTTTTACTGTTACCAAATTTGGCAATGTGATAGTATCAGCTTTCACTGCATGTTTTCCACAAGTGGCATTGGTAGCAGTGCCACACCCAAGTGGCTTTGAATGTTGTTCAATGCTGCCAGTCAGGAATGACAGGAAGACACCCAGGGAAAAGCCCAACTTGTCAGACCCACCATTCACTCACTGGAAGAGGAGCTTTTCAAATGTAAGCCCTCACCCAGCCCAATCACACCCAATGGCACATACAACATCAATGCCATCACCATGTCCAGTGGCTGGCTGCACCAGGAGTGATGGCAGTCTGGTGGTTGCAAACAGGGACAAGGTGGAAAAGATCTTGGCACCCCCCAATTGTGGTGCTGCTGTGGTGTACAGACTTGGCTACTACAACATACTTCTTCCCAAGACACAGCAGTCTGAAGAGTAGCTCATCTCATTGGGGATTTGACAAACATTAGTAGGGTGTGGTCAGCACATTTGTCACTGCAGTCCTTGTTTGTGTTTTTGATGGAGTGGGACCTGGCTACCTTTGCTCAACTTAGGAAGTGCTGGAAGCTGGAGTTGATTTTCAGTTCTGGCACAGGCATGCAGGACTGGTACAATGTGCTTGCATCTTGGATGAACCATTCTTTTGAGTCTGAGTTGGGTTGCACAAATTGGTTTGAAAAGTCAGCTTGCAGCAAATTGCCATGTCATGTTTTAATGAACCAGGTCAGGTGAAGAGCTAGCATGTGTGTTTGTCTTCTAAGGCCAGGTATGCCAGCTGCCACCAGTCATGCTCTTGGGTCCAGGAGTATGTCAAGCAATGCAGTGGCTACTTGCACTCAACTAAACACACCTACTGCCTCTCAGTTGGTTTCCACCAAAACCACATGGCAGGCATGTCCTTGCTGCCCCAAGGTTTGGAGGATGGCCACTGGCAAAAGAACCAATTGGAAAAGGTCTTGGGCTGCAACTTGACTTGCACACAGGGCTTGTTTGGCCAACAACTTTACTTGGGGCACTGTCCAAATTTTGTGGGAGGTTTTGGTGCTTTACCTTAGGCAAGCTGAAAGACTATGGCACTGCCTTTGTTGCCACAATCCCACAGATTGTCAAAGGGTTGCATGAGAAAGATGAGGGGCAGAAGGCTATGCAAGCAACAGCACCAGAGACTGAACTCCAACAAAGGAGGCAGGCTGTGGCACAGAGACTCCAAGAGATCCAGAAGAAGACACAGCAGCAAAAGATTG